CACTTTCACCTCATTCATGTTTGGACTAGAAAGAAAAAAATAGGTGGAGGTGAACGTGTGATGCAGAAGTTTTTTAAATTTTCCTCAAAGACATGAACTCATCAAACAAGTAAGAAAATATGATTAGTCCAGGTTTAGGTTTTGACTATGTTTGAACAAGTCCAATATTATTGGCCTTTGGCACATTCTAAAACTACCGTTCCACCAGATATACCGTTTTCATTTCACATATGTTTTACTTGGCTAAACCTGTCAATGTGACAATAAAGAGGAATTAAGCTTCTTGTAAATGCCAACCCAAGCAGTCTTTATATCTTTTGCACCGACTAATCCTGTAATAAATCGTAGATTTTATGACATTGTCACTAATTGCTCTGCAGGCAGCACTGTGATGCCTGACTACCCTGCAGGGATAACACAGGAACATGCTTTAAAAATATCTTGATCATCCAAGCACTGAACCTTCCTTTATTTGCTTTAAATTTATTCTACTTTTCACTAGTTCATTTAGGGTTAACCTCAACAGATAATCTACTTTCATTGTTCTAGAATTGTGCCGCTCAAGGTGGCTGCATGTTGGAGCAGCTCTGTTACTTTCATTCTGAGATTTTGCTTTTGAAAACTTTAATTCCTCTTTTGCTGGATGTGAATCACATTTTTTGGATGATTGTTTCCTCTGGTATCAGATGCTGTGCAGCCGGAAGAATTTTACTGAAACTTTTTTAGATTTGGACATTTGTTATGATGCGTAACCATGGCAACAAGGCTGTTTTCTGCAACCAACAGCAGCTGATTAACATCTCAAAGCTCAACTAATATCTCAACTACAGCCCAAAATCTCAAATGAGTTGAAAAGGATGTTCTGTGGATGCATTCTCATCTACCTGCCGGCTGTGCTCGAGTGCCTGACCACTGAGATCCTGGAACTGGCAAGAAACACGGCTCGTGACAGTGGAAGGACGGGATCGTCCCTCGGCACCTACATTTGACTGTCCGCAGCGACGAGGAGCTCGGCAGACTGCTGGGAGGAGTGGCCATCGCTCTGGGAGGAGTTCTGCCCGGCATTCGGGCGGTCCAACAGCCCGGGGGAACCGAGAGGCCAGTCGAGTCTGGGTGGACGGATCGGACGCATCTGCGGCCAGTTTCTTAGGATCCAATGTGGGATGGACCTTTACAAGAGATCCATCTTGTTTACAGCCATCAGTGTCTATAACATCTCTTAATGAAGAATAACGAGTTACAGCAAGAAATAATTTCCCTTTGGGATTAATAAAGTATTTTTTTGAATCTCATCGTATTCCAGCATCCTCCTCTGTCACACCAAGCCTCCTTCACTACATCCATGAACCTCCTTCCTGGTAGCTCCACATTCAACATCATTTGCCCAATATATCCACCGTCCCTCCTCTGCACATGTCCAAATCATCTCAGACTTGGCTCTCCAACTGCTTCTCTTATCTCCAGAGCACCACTGCGCCACAATCCTTTCCACCTGCTCCCTACTCTCACTACAGATCACATCATCTGCAAACTGTCAACCTGTCCACTACCATTGCAAACAATAAGCTCTTTCACAAAACACTCAACCTCTGTGTAATTTGTGAACAGGCCAAGGTGTTATGGTTGAAGCTAACCCATCCCGATGCACCCAAGTGCCACCAAGCAAGGTAGTTCCAGAGCCAGAATAAAGAACATGTGAAAAGGTTAGCCTCATTTGTAGCTACTGTAAATAAAGTGATGTATTGATGGCGTACAGTCTGAGTGAACACAAGCTGCAGAATTTAAAAAAAAGAAGGATTTATCATCAAAAAGACTGATAATGACACAACTTTAGTTTAAAACATGGGCGGCATGGTGGCACAGTGATTAGAGCTGCCACCTCAAAAGCATGCGTGTTAAATTATAACTCGAAATTATCACGATAGGTGAGTCAGAGCATGAATGGTTGTCTGTATTGTTTGTCTCTATGTGGCTCTATGATGGATCTGTGACCCGTCCAAGGTTAGCACCGCCCTCCACACAATGACTGTTGGAGATGAGAGCCAGCTCCCCCCGCTGCACAGAACATCTGGTAAAAAGAAAATGGATGGATGGAAAAAACTGGTTGGTAGAGCAGAGTGCTCTTATTGTTGAGGACGTCACAGATTTATGAGCAAAGTGACTCAAGTTTAAAATAAGTTCTACAACTAGTTAACCTCTAATCCACCCAGGTTAGAGTTGATTTGAGCAGTCGGATCATAAACTAAATCCTTGAGCTTATTAAAGCTGCAGCGACCATCTCTATTGGAATCTGTGCCACATGTTAAAATAGTTTGTACTTAAAAGGAGCATCCATCCATTATCTTTACCCACGTCTTCCTTTTCAGGTCACAGGGGTCACTGGTGCTCATAACCAGCACTGTACGAGAGGTGGGGACACCCTGGACAGGTCTCCAGTCCATCACAGGGACACATAGAGACAAACAAGACAACCATTCGCTCTCTCGCTTTCACCTAGGGACAATGTAGAGTTACGAATCAGACTAACGTGCATGTTTTTGGTGTGGGAGGAAACTGAAGAACACACACATGCACGGAGAGAACTCCACACAGAGAGGGCCAGGATTCGATCCGGTGATCTTCTTGCCGAGATGCGGCAGCTCTACCAACTGCACCCTCGTGCCGCTTAACAGGAACAGTCAACATAAAAATATAAACACTACAAATGGTAGGCTGTAAATTTTACTGCTGTTTCTGCTGATCTTCCTTAATCCTCTTCCTCCATTTTGGGACACAAGGCCACGTTGCTGCTAATCTGAATATAATTAATCTCTTAGAAATGTGCTGGAGTGTCAGCTCTGCCTCTGAAATCCTCAGTAAAAAAAGAAAGTCCAGCAAAACGAAAGACGACGCTTTGTTTTTTTCTGTGTGACGTCTGAGCTCCACATCTGCCTGGTGCACACATCTGTTTGTGCATGAGCGTGGCGCTCAGAGAGACAGGGAAGCCTGTCACTGCTTGCTCTGACTGACATCTTGGCCATGGATTCAGATCTTTTCTCAAGAAGCAGGTGACAAGGTGAAAAGAGACGCAGTCTGCGCTACAGTAGCAGCTGATGATTGCTGCTGCTTCATCTACACGCAGATGAAAACAGATGTTCAGCTCTGAGACTGCCGTGCATCTGGATATACGTTGGATATTGTAACATCTTGCAATAATGCAAGACGTCATGCTCAGAGTATACGTTGCGCAAGATTCTCATTTAATATTGCATCAAAATCTTAGTTTAATATCTGTTAAATTTACAAAGTATATTCATTTTTGTGTTGGGTAATGTTGATTAGCTGTAATGTCCATCTTCATTTAAAATGACTCCAAATAAATCAGTTGTAGATACGTAAGGGATGATTCCTTTTAGAAATTTTCAACAAAGCCTGTCTAGTGGTTCATGAGATATTTTGCTAACTGACAAGCTTCAAATTTTAACACAGCATTCACTAAATTAACTAAATCATCACCATTTTTGTGTTTCCTAAGGTTCATTAGCTGCGGCGGCCATCTTGAGTCAAATGTTATTTGGTTGTAGTTGTTAACCTATGTTTAATTAAAGCCCATTCTGTGATTCATGAGATATTTTGCTAAAACAGGCAGAAGCACCTTGACTGAAACTCACAATTCAGTGCATCAAAGTTCATGCTCAATAATCCAGGTTAAAAAAAAAAATCCAGCAAGGTTCAGTCAGGTCAACTGGATGGTTCCTATTTTTGTTGAGACATTTCTTCCTTCATCCAAAAGGACTTCATCAGTCCAAGGAGCCACAACAAGCATCACACCCCCATAGTGGACCCAGTTTGCTGGTGATACGATGGTTTCTGGAGTCCGCCCTCTCCCCCGTCTACTCCTCTGAGGCAGCCATAGCCAAAGTGGTTCAAACATCAAAGTTCATGCTCAATAATCCAGGTTATTAAAAAAATTCATCACAGTTCAGTCCCAGAAACCATCTCACCACCAGCAAACTGGTTGGTCCACTATAGGAGGGTGCTGCTTGTGGGACCTAAGTTTGATGTGGCTCCTCGGACTGATGAAGTCCTTAGGATGAAACATCTCAACAAACACAAGAAACCGTACAGATGACCTGACTTACAATTCAGTAGTCTGTGGAGTTTTATCATCAGTACTTTATAAAATTGTAAATACTTAATTTGTGTGCACCAGATTAAATAAATAAATAAACTCCCACCAGAACAACGATGCATTTTTTCTTGTTTTAATAAATGGCAACCCGCCCACACTTATAGAAAACCAACGTTTTAGCTCAGGTTCTGAAAAACACTTTACTCATTAACCCTTTCACTCACACACTTCCAGTGTTTTCTGTTATACATGTTACGCTCCATATGCAGCACTTTTATATTCTCAGTCAAACACTGCACACAGCAGGAGCTGGGGATTGAACCACCGACCCTCCATTTGACAAACAGCCTTCCATCCACTGAGCCAAGTCACAATTTACAAAGTGCTTATATTTTTTTTTTTCTGGTTTTTGATGGGATGGGATTAACCTGTATAAATAAAGTACAACTAATAACTGTATCATGTATAAACCCAGTCATATTAACTGTTTCTAATTATATCCTGAGTAAACGGAATAAACTCAAACACATTAAAATCTAGACAGTTTTTATTTTCCCCATTGAATCCTTATAAATGAGTTACCTTATAAAAATTATAACTTAACCTTGAAAAGTTCATCCTGGTTCAAAAAAAGTTCAACCTTCATGACTTTGAACCTCCGTGCGTCAGGGCGGGACCACAACTGTCAAATTATATTTTTATTTCATGCTCATCCCCAGAATTTGTGCCGGACCTTTGAATTAAAACATCGCAACAAGAGAAAGCTGAAAACAGCTACAGGGTTTTGAGCCTTTGGAGTTATGAGCGCATTGTTTAATGGCTCGTGCACGTTTATTCAGCTGATTAGTGCAAATGTCTCCAAAACAGAAAGAAATCATGATCAGCTCACCTGCTCGGCTGGCTTGTGAGACTCCTCTCTCACACGTGAGACATGCACACGCACAGTCAAACTTTCTGCCTTTGGTTTTTCTTCACGCACGCACACAGCTGCACCGCCCGTCCCGCCGCGGCCGCACGCCCGTGTGAGCTCCGCGCTTCAAGAGCGCAAGGAGCGCGCTCGGCCCCGCCTGGAGGAGGACTTCCTGACCCGGAAACCAGGAGCAGGTTTCAACCCCACCCCGAAGGTTACCTGCAGAAATACCACAGGTGTCGAGTTTAACCCCGCCCCTTTTCCTCCCACAACACGGGGGGGGGGGGGGGGGGGGGGGTCTTAGTCATGCTGGACTTGAACTTGTTTTCAAAGTCGCAAACACAAACAGATCATTTTGATTATTTTTCATGGATTTTCCACATAAAATAAAGAGTCCCGTAACAAAGACGATTGTTTTATTTCTCCAAAGATTAAAATCACTCTTCTGCAAAGGATGGACTCTTACATGAAAAGGTTTTCCTGGATTATATGGTGCAGTTATGAGTAGCTTTCCAGATTTACTGACATGTTGATATATTGTATTGATATATTGCAACATATTATAGGGAGTGGTGGTGCAGAGGCTAGAGGAGGTGGGCCTGTGATCAGAAGGTCGCTGGATCGACTCCCCGAACCGACAACATCGAAATGTGGGTGAAAAAGGTGAAACACCCACACCTGCCCCATGACCCCCGAGCAAGGCCTCCAACCCCCACCATCCACCACCAAACAGGCCCCTCCTGAAAGTGAGTCCTTGTGACTCCATGAGACGACCTGATAAAGTAAATGCAGGTAAATCATTTGGCTTGAGACACGTGACTGACGGGGGCTGTGACCTGCAGCCCCGGGGGCCACACATGGCTCTGTTCTCCTCCAGTGGCTCTAGAGAGCTTTGTCCTAAAATAAAGGTATCAATAAGTCAATCTAGAATACTAAAATCTCATTTTATGAGATGTCCTGTCCAATTTTTGTTGCAATATGTGACTAAAACGTCCGTGACAGAATAATGTTAAAGGAGCAAAACGTACAGATCAACCAAAAGTTGCTTAGCGTGTCAGCTGCTTCAACAATCCAACTTTTTTATATGAATATTCAAAAATGAACCTTTTTTTTTTTTTAATGTTTGAATCAGGTTGTTGAGGGGAAGAAACAAAGTGCAGCTCTGCACACAGACTCAGAAATAAGATGCTGAGGAGAAAAACATCAAGTAGCACCGCTGACACTGGGTGTTTTTGATTAAAACTTAAAAGTTAAAGGAAATGACGGTCCTTGCCTTCATTAACCAAAATAATTAAGATATGAATAAATGTTTGTGATTTACTGAAATAAGTTTTATGTTCAGTCAACGTGGGAGCAGATTGAAAAATCACTTATGAAGGCCTGACTCATTTAAATTTTAAATTCTAAGTGGGTACAAAGATGGTCCCTACTTTGTGATAACATGGAAAATACTAATAAATGTCATCAGTTGACTTTATTTATTTACTTATTTATTTATGTTGTCAAAATGTTACTAACTATTTTTTTTTTAAAGTGTTTTCTTGCATTTATAAAACAACAAACTGAGTGTATTTTAATTCGTAAGTTGGTTTTGTGGCTCTGGACACATTTTCTTATATAAAATGAGACAACTTGCTCTTTAGATTGTAAAAATTGCAGAAAATGAGTGTAGGTAAAGAAGTAATGTCTGGAAAATTAATGTTTACTGGTTTTCAGTCACTTCTGCTCTTTTCGTATGTAAACAAGCGTACCATATTTTTCGGCCTACAAGTCGCAGTTTTTTCCATAATTTACATGCCCTGCGACTTATAGGCCGAAGCAACAGATTTATGGATTTTTCCCCATATTTATAAACCAATTTCTGGCTGAGATGTGACCGTTTTCATTCATTCTGTCTGGGGGAAGAAAAAAAACAGTACCATTTTCAGCCACTAGATGGCAGCAGAGTAGATGTAGAGTATGGCATGCCGTTGTATCATGCAATAGGTAAAATTGGCTATAATGACAAATTCAAAAAAGTTCAAGACAAAAACAACTGGATTTTATTTATTATACTTTATTGTTTGTTTTTTTTCCTTGAACTTTTTTGATTTTGCCATGTCCTGGATGACTGAAAATCTGGAGCAGCTATTAATGACTCAATTGGTCTGCCATAAATCCCAACCTTTGTTCCACTCACTGCTTGGAGCATGTTAAACCAACTGCACCGCCCCGGTGAAATGCAGCTAATTTGACCATTAAGTGCATCTATTAAGTAAAAGTTCAACTGAGACACACCTTTACTATAATTTTGAGCAAACAAATATTTGTTTAGGTGCTTTTCTTGTTAAAATTCAAAGAAACGAGCAGTGTTTCTCCTTCCTGATTTCCTCCCTCTGCACGCTCCCGGAGCACCGAGGCAGCGTAACTATTTTTGAAATTCAGCTGATTTGACCATTAAAGTGTATTTATTACGAAAAAGTTAAACTGGTGCACCTTTGCTATAATTTTGAGCAAACAAATAATTGTTTTTAGGTGTTTATCTTGTTAAATTTGCACGGCGACTCATTGCATGCACGCATTTACATTCGCGTATCGGCTTTTGAAATGCAGCTGATTTGACCGTCAAAGTGCATTTATTAAACAAACGCTAGACTGAGACACACATTTTATAATTTCAAGCAAACAAACAATTGTTTTTAAGTGTTAATCTTGTTAAATTCTTGTTAAAGTCCTCCCGCCATTTTGCAGCCCATCGCTTTTTGTCACATCGACCCACATTTCCGGGTTGTCAGCGGTGACGCATAATAGATGCGACGTTTACGGCGAAGTGACATACTTATGGATTTTTCCACTTTTTTAGACATTTTTGGACTGATGCGACGTATAGGGCGGTTGCAACTTGTACGGCGGAAAATACGGTATGTGGTAGTTGGTCCGGTCAGAAATTTTTCTTACATTTTTTTTTATTTAAGGACACATTGATATGAAAACAATACTTTGTGGATTTTGTTTCTTAATTTGATTGTTTTCCTTCAGGCTTTGTGACCTGAAATCTCACAGCAGATATCCTCTAACATTAAAAACTCTTAGACCAAAGCAGTGAGCCTGTATTTTAAAATCTGCATCGTTAAAGCATTATATTTCATCTTTTCTATCCGTCGTGCTTCTGTTAAGATGAAAAATGTTTTTTTGGGGGAAAACAACCTTTTATCTGAGATGTTCCACAATCTTTGAGTGTTTCTTTGTCCCATAATAGACCATGTCATTCTGCGTTTTGCCATGAGAAGAGGTTAATTATGTTGTTCTTCATTTTTTCTAATATTTACCCAGGTCTACAAACTCAAAAAGCATGGCTTCTTTTTGAAATTATGCAGTCATAGCAACTGATGCACATACCGCTCTTAAACTCTGTGAATATAGTTTTAAATCCTCCATAAAAGACACCGAGGAGGCAGCTAAAAAATCCTTCATTACAACATTTTCTCCTGTCGTATTAATTTTTTATGTAAAGATTTAATTAGATTTTTTTAATATTAAATAATCTGATGTTAATTAAATAGATTTTATTGTGAAATTGTTTGTGGTTCTGATGATTTCTGCCATGCAGACGTTAAAATGTTATTAGGAGGCCTTCATAAAGACGTGTTAATTATAGCGTCCTTGAAAAACTTTTAATTTTTTGGAAGTTTTAAACTTGATTACTTATGTGAAAGTGCACATGCTGCGATGACTGCCTGAACCTGACAGTACAGTATGGTAAAGGTGAACGTAAAGTTGATGACACACCATTTAAACCGTGGCTTTCTTTATGTTGGACGGAAGAGACGATTTGTACGGCAGAAATGATCAAGAGACGATGACGGCCTCCATCAGCGAGCTCATTATGTGGTGCCAGCCAAGTCAACTGATACCCAGCGGCCCCACCCAGCTGTGCGGCAGCCTCCTGCACAAAAGGTTTATTTGTGTCAGATGTCTGCAAGGTTTTGTCCTCGATCTGCAGGTGAACTTTCTGTTTTGAAGAAAAGAAGGTTTTTAAAAATATAAACGGAGAAATTACCTTTTCTGCAAAAATACAGTGTGAATGGCTTCACTGAACAGCTGGAACTAAATGTTAAAACAAAAAAAAAGCAAAACAGTAGCTAAAATAAGCACAGCACTGGTTTAGAAGTAATCAATTAGCTAAAAGGAGCAAAATGCTAGCTAAAACAAAATTAACAAGAAGTTATCTTGTCTAAAGAGTCGTTAGGCAAAAGAAACAAAATGAATTGAAACCATTAAGAGGTTGGCTTGAAGTATCAACAAGTTAGATAGACGTTAAAAGTAGCAAAATGGTAGCTAAAAGCTAAATGCAGCTTATGAAAACAAAAATAGAGCCAATGTGCTGAAGCACATTTCAAAGAGATCAATGTTTCTGTAGGAAATTATGAGATCTCAGTGTGTTTCTATGGTGGAAACATTTGCAGATAAAGTTAAATACCCATCCACTAAATGAGTTGAAAGTTTAAAAAAAAAAATATCCAAAATGTGACGGCAAAAAAAAAACGTGCAGAAAAAATAGTGTGAAAACTGAATCAGGATTGACATAATTAAAGTATTAAAACTTATTATAGGCTTTATTATAAAACGTATAATTTAGAAAAGCACTGATCCTGGGTTGGACCAAATTAAACCGGGACAAAATAACGGGACAGCGGGGCAGTAAAGTGCTGTACAGAGAACACGTTGTGCAACGAGGGGCCTGGAGATGGATGATAACCATCATCCTCAACAGCTACGTGCATTCTCCCATGAACCTAAAAGCAAAACATGGAAAACAAATGTGCAGAAGTGCACAGGTGACTGAGAAGTCCTGCATACCAAAGAGCTGAGATCAGTACAGAATTCCAAATATAATTTCTAAAAAAAAAAAAAAACACAAAATCTAAAAGCTGAACATTCTCTGTATGTTGTCTGACAGCTGGAAGGTTCCTGGTTTAAATCCAGGCCTTGCTTTGACGAGCTTAGACATCTTTCTCTAAGTATGATTGTCATCTGGTCCAAAAAGATGCCTTGCCCCTGCTTGGTTGTTCACTTCCTGTGATTTTGTGTTGAGCCCGCGGTGGTGCAGCGACCTGCTCAGGGTGCACCACGCTGCTTGACAGATGGACTAAGGTCCGAGTTAATCCCAGAACAACACACGCCTGTGACTCTCAACAAGACATAACTGGCAGGACGAATGCAGAGCTGTTTAGTTTTAATAGGAAACATGGCAGTATACTTCACCTGATGGTTCCACACCCAGAAAGTTAAAATTATGATAAAAACATGATTTTTATCATAATTTTCTCATTGCACATCTGTTTTGGTGTACTCCCCCGTCATTTTGTTTATTACCAGTAACCTGCTCAAATTATAGCAGAGAGCAGCTCTGAAGTAACTTTAACGCCACCAAAGTTCAACTTTATTTGGAAGACCTAAAAAAAACGTATCCGCTGTTTTGTAAATTTTATTTTTTTAAGTGATATATTTTTGAACAGCATTTTTTTGGCTGAAATCTTTGATGACGTTTTTTTTTTTTTTTTAGTCTGGAAGCAAAGAAGAGAACAAGAAAAACATTTTACCAATTATGACATTTTATTCCTTTGCTAAATAAACATAACCTTAAGCAATTTATTCTTATTTGGTAAGGTCCACCCCCCACCCCTTGAAGTTGACCAAACCTTAATGGGACAGTCCCCTCTAGTGGTGGGTCTGGTTACACTGACTCCTCTCTGGACTGATCATGTATGTGTATTTTTGCTAACACAGTCCTCGTGAGAGAACCTTAAAAAACTGAATTCTATGTGCTGTGGTTGATTAGATACGGCAGCCATCTTGGATGGTAAAAGAGCAGACAAACACAGACACGAGCACAAACATCATCCCCCCTGTCTTCAGCATCAGGCGAAGATAAAGAAGCTGATCAGAAGCTGTAAGTTCTCTGTGAACTTTGTGCACTCTGCAGTAACTTTACGGGGAAATACTTGTGCCTCAAGCTTTAATGTGCATTTGTGGAGTTTGTTATAGTGCCACTCAGTGCACTCGTCTTAGTTTATTTTATTTTTTTGTTCCTTTTTGTCCACTTCAAATCCCTGGTTAAAAAAAAAATAGTGTTTGACTAACTGGAAGAAGTCAAGCTTGGAGAAATATGAGTCATCGTGTGAGAGTCATCTCTGAAGTGGTTGGTTGTGGACTGCAGGTTACCGGTACATTATGGATGAACAAGAAGCTTTGGCAGTTTTGAAGCCATCTGTCGGATCTGTGCGATTTATTTGTCCATTTGCACATTGTGGCCATATTCCCTTCTTTCTCTCGTAATTCAAGTGCATTCCTAGAGTTCCTACAAAAAATGATACTTGTTAATAATAAGGAATTGTGATCAATGAAAGTAAAAAAAAAAAAAAAGTTTACTTTTGGGTTAATATTATCTAGAGCAGTGGTTATCAAACTGGGGTCCCCGGACCCCCCGGGGATCCACGATCCAGTGCTTGGGGGTTCACAAATTAAAAAAAAAATAAAATCCATCCATCCATCCATTATCTTTACTCGCTTCTTCCATTTTGGGTCACGGGGGTCGCCGGTGCCCATGTCCAGCAATCACTGTGCGAGGGGCGGGGTACACCCTGGACAGGTCTCCAGTCCATCACAGGGACACATAGAGACAAACAAGAAAAACAACCATTCACTCTCTCACTCACACCTAGGGACAATTTAGAGTCACCAATCAGCCTAACATGCATGTTTTTGGTCTGTGGGAGGAAACCCACACATGCACGGAGAGAACATGCAAACTCCACCCAGAAAGGCACCTGGACCGGGGTTTGAACCAAGGACCTGCTCGCTGAGAGGCAGCAGCTCTACCAGTTGCGCCACCGTGCTGCCCAGATATTTATTTATTTATTATTTTATTAATTTTTTTGCAAACACGTAGATCAGGGCTGTTCGACTAGCAGCCCGCAGGCCCGGCCCACAGGTGATTTTAATCTGATCCACTTCATTATTTATTTATTTGTTTTTTTTTATCTACTTATTTTTTGGTTCTGGGTTTTGGGTTCTGGTTATTGCATTTATGATTCAATGCAATAAAATAAACAAATTTAAAAGGCAACAGATCATTTTAAACTTTGGTTTATTGATATAACAATTTTAGTCGCTGGATCCACAGACCCATTTATATGCAAGTCTGCACACCAGATATTTATCACCTGCTATCAGAGGTGCAATAATGTTGTCGCTTGTTAGCGCTGTGTTTGTGCTGTTAGTAAAATATCTCATCAACCAAAGAAACAGACTTTAATGAAACTCGCAGAAAGTAAATAATGGATGAACATCTTCAACTAATTAACTCCTGAAGTAGTATGATAGTTGACAATCAAAGACTTTGCTAACAGATCATGCACAACCATGCAAGGAATTGATACACTGCACCAGCGTGTGCACAGTTATTTTCACGGTTTGACCTAAAAGACTCCGTTACTTTTCAACATAAGATAATCTTAGTCTAAAACTCAGGCATGAAAAGTGGCAGGTGATATGCATTCATTTAAGGAATGCATATCACCTGCCACTTGTTTCCTAGTAAAACTGAACAGCTCTGCATTCGTCCTCTCTACCAGATATGTCTTGCTGAGGGACACCGGGGGGGGGGGGGGGGGGGGGTGGGAAGAGCGGCGTGTAGGGAACAGAACACTGGTTTTTCGGGCGCCTTGACAACCGCGAACTGGGGACGTGGTTCTATTTTGAC